TGGAAAACCAAAGGCAGTCTCACCTACTTTCCCTCTGCCAGCATCCCATGCCACTTTCTTGCCTATGGTCCACCCTAGGGGCCACCTCTGACAGCCCCCCCAACCCCAACTCCCAATCCCCATCTTCACATAGCACTAGAGCCACTGATCCAACCCCAAATGGAAAGCCATTCAAAGAGAAAAGTCCTCAGACTAGAAGGCACAGTCCTCTTCCCATACTCCTCTACTCTGGGCCCTTCATCCATCTTATAAGGGACCTTTCCTGCCTCATTACAGCAGCAAGTACAGACCCAGAACTAAGGTGGTTCTCAAATTCTCCTTTTGCATCCATCTGTACCAGGCCTCTCCTCCGACCCCCCTGACCCCCCCCCACCCCAGAACTCCATGGAACTAGAAGGCAGTGGGATTCCTGAAAAATCTGAGGGAAAAATAGCCTTCCTTCCCAAGGACCTTCCTGCCATAGGCTGCCATCTTCACTCCCATCCCTCTGACCCTATTCATATGCCCAACCCCAAATCAGTTCAGGCAGGCCGCTTTGGCTCAGCACATCTCATCCCTAGCTTAAGCAGAGGAAAACAGAAACCTAGAAAAGGGTTTTGATCAAAGAACAAACTTAGAATAGGGCAGGTCTGAGCTGGAATCCTGGGTTCTGTGTTTGCTGGCTGGGTGACCTTGGGTCATTGGCTTTTAGGTCTCTATGACTTTGACCCCTCAGTCTATAAAATGGGCATAAACAGTGACCATTTCCTATGGAGGAGTTAAGTGTAAGAATGCATAGAATACTCTTAACTGTCAGTACATGGGATTCAGGAAGCACTCAATAAATAACCACTGTTATTATCTTTATTATGGAGGAACTTGCTCACAAGTCATAATGGGGGAGGGTGGCCAAGCTAGGGAGCTCAAAGTGGCTTTAAGGTTCCATGAGGACAGCATGCGTTAGTTATAAATGCGATCACTATTCCACTGAGCACCTTGACTTGTGCTCAATTAATTATTTTTTGAATGGATGAGTGAATGAACAGCAGAACCAGCCACACCTTCCTCCTTAATCCTGCAGCTTTGAGTTTCTTGCCCGACCCACAAACTGATTGAGGTCAAATCCAGTTCCTCCGGCTCTCTTCCATCCAACCTTCCAAATTCAATATCCCTGGGTCCCCAACATCCTTCAATCTGGGCTTTGGCTGGACATACCCCCAGTGGGACAATGGGGTTGAGGCCAGGGCAGGGGCCAAGGAAAGTGGCTGGGGGTCCAGGGTACCCCCATCGGTGTGTCCTCCTGGGGCCAGCTGAACGGAGGGAGGCTCCCAGCCCAGTGTCCTTAATAGGCTTTGGTCTCCATGGGAACCTGGGGGCAGGGGGAGTTTGGGGGGGGAGGGGAGGCGACCAAGGCCTGCTGACCAGTGGGAGCCGCCAAGTTCGGCGGCGGCTAAGCCTGAGTGGCAGCCATGGCGGCTGACCATTGTTCCCCCCTCGGCGGCGGCCCCTCAATCCGGGCGGGGGGCCCCCTGCCGCGGGGCCCTTGGCATTCCCGGCTGTCCCCCTCGCTCCCTGGCAGCCTATTCTCCAGCTCCCCCTGGCCTCCCCGGGCCGGTTTCACATGCCAACGCCGATTTAGGCCCGAACAAAAGACGCGGCCGCTGACGGCTTCTCCTGGGGCCCGGTTGCCACGGCAACGCCGGCCCCGGGGGCAGGCGGCCTCCAATCACAGCTGCTGGATCAGATTAGTGCGAGCTCTAATGCTCGGTGCTCAGACACAAAGACACCCCGCCGGAGCCGAGCCGGGCCTGCTGCTTCCCAGGAGCGCCCTTCCCTCTGGGGCCCAGGCTTGGCCTGCCCCGCATCCTGGACCCAGGTCCCCACGGAGGCGCCAGAGCCGAGGCCTCTGGCCCTTACACGTCAGCATCCTCTGACCTGCGGACCCCACAACCAGCCACAGCTCAAACCTATCTATTGCCCCAGCCGGGTCCAGCTTGGCCTGCTAGGGATTCACATGCCTTGATGTTGATCAGACCCAACCTCTGGCCTGTGTCACCTGAAACATTCAAGGACGCAGCCCAGCTTCACCCTTGCACTTCAGACCTAGACCCCTTTGCCATTTTCCCGCAGACCCTTAAAGTTCATATTGCTTACTCTTCTGGGGAGTCACCTTATTGTCTGACAGTACCACCCCGCCTACCTTTTCACAAGGCCCAGAAACTAAAGTTTGACGGCACCTGAGAGCTGAGAGCCAGACATTTGGGCCAGAGCAGACTTTGGGATGCTTTCTTCAGTTCCTCCAATACCTAAGGGATCAGTAGTGCCCCCTCATCTCCCCACCTGTGCAAGCAGGGTACCGAACTCAATAGGGATTCTTATTTATTGCCTCCTTATCATCATCCTCCCAGGAAGGGGCGGGGGAAGGAAGGTGCAGCTGTCCGTGGCCTGGACAGGTGCAAGCTCCCAGGAGGCCAGGGAATGACTGGATTGAACTGGCTTACAGGAGCACCTCCTCCCTTGGGAGAATGAAGATAAGCAGGAGAAAAATACAAGGGAAGGATAACAAAAGGGACTCTACTCTATGGCTTCCTCTCCCTGGAGATGCCCAGGGTCTGAGGCCCATAGATGGGACAGGAGTCCAGACTCTGGCTTGGCCTGGCCTCACCCACAGAGGAGCCCAGGCCTCCACTGCCTTTTTCAGGAATTAGGATGACTTGGCTGTGTACCTCCCACCCCCAGCTTGCTACTGATCCATTCTCTGGTGCTTTCCCAGGCCCAGCAAGTACCCCCAGTGAAGACCCACCTTTCCAAACTGCTCAAAATATTGCTTCACATCCTCCACCGTGGTGTTCACGGACAGCCCCCCTACAAAGATCTTCTTCGTTCGAGTGACCATCTGTTAGGGGAGGGAATGAGAAAGTGGGCATCTGAGTCCTATGGCCTACTGCCACCAGCAGGGGTTTGGGGCCCCCCTGCTAGGATGCCAGCTGACAAGCTCTCTGTGGCCCCAGTTTCTCCAAGGCCCCCTTCCAAGCTCCCCCGTGGACTCCTGCCTCTGGGCCTGTCATGGGCAGCTGTGTACCCCATACCCTGCTTGGCTTGAGTGTGCCTCCCTCCCTGGGGTCTGTGTCTGGAAAATGCCTTCCCTAAGGACTTATACAAGGAAGGGAGCATGCCAATGGCCCGGACCCATTGCCTAGCATGAAGACCCCACCAGTCCTCCTGGGAGGACATCAAGGCCACCACAGGGTGGCCCTGAACTTAACTCCAACATTTTCTTCATCAACCTTCCTCCCAACCCAACCTCTGGCAGCCCTGTGGCCCCAGTCCTGTTTTAGGAAGAACACATGGTCCTAATTACCCCAGGAGCGCATGGCTAATCCGAGGCAATTCCCAGCCCCATCCTAACACTAAAGCACCTTCTGTCACCAAACTGCTTAATGGAATTAACCCAATTCCGACCATGTGCTCCCTGGTGCGGCTTCCTTCGAATACCTGCTTCATAATTGCTTTCAGGCCCTCTGCTGGAACCCTTCCAGAGATGCCCCTTTCCTGTCTCCTAAAACTGTTCCTCTCTCTTTGCCCTGGCAGGAGCTGGCAGCCTTGATGGAATTCATGGCTCAGAACTTCGGAGCACCTTACTTCCCATCAACCATACCTCCCCATGTAAAGGGAGAAACTGAAATTTCCTAGAGAAGAAACCAGTCCTACGATAATGTCAGCAAACTCAGGGGTCCTGACTCCCTGTACTATAACTGTTCTTTCTTCCTCTCCCCATTAAGACTGTGGCTTATAAACTAAGATCTGGCCAGCTGCCAAGATGTATAGACTCAGATGTAAGGTCCTTGCCCTGTACCACAAGTTTTGAATGCCCTTCTGCTCAACTCAGAAATTCATTTTCTGCCTACCCCTGCTCTACAAGAAAACCAGAGAAAGAGAGAACTACCACAGATACTCAAGTTAAAACACAACAGGTGCCATGCTCCATGGGTTCCCCCTTCTCCCCCACAAGCCCAACACACCTTGAACCAGAGACAGGAGGATGACTTTGGGTAAGCAGTAAGCTCTCTGGTCCAGGTCTAGGACAAGCCCACCCTGTGTTTGAATGCCCCTCTCCCCCAAGGCTCAGGGTCCAAAGACTGTGATCTATGAGGTCAGAATTAGATTCAGAGTCCAAATTGTACCCACTTCAAATACAGGACAATGAAGGACTTCCTTTCTTCCACCACATAAAACCCTATCTGCTGTCCATCTCAGAGTCTAGATGCAAAGCTGTATAGACTCTTCATTCTACAGACCACGGATAGCCCCTGTTCCCACTCTAGCACATTCCAGAAACACTCCAGAGGTTCCAGAAGCAGCTTCGATAGAAGAGAATGCAAGGAAAATTACTGCCCAGTGCTCCTTGCAGTAACAGAGCTTCCCCCAGCACTCCCTAGTCTGTACCTTAGGTTGTGCCCGGCGAGGAAAGGCCACCTTGGGGTCAATCTGAAAGAGAAGGGAGATGTAGACGGGGTCTTGGTTATCACATTTCAAATAGTGACCATACATCCTCCAGCCCCTTTTATCCCAGGACACTGAGGTAATAGAAACCACAACAGCTTTGGGCAGGAGAACTTGGTTGTTAAGCAAGCTGCTGGGTTCAAATCCTACATACACTGCTTTCCAACTCTGAGACGCTGGGCAAGCAAGTTATTTAACTTCTCTGAGTCTCAAGGTCAAGTTCACTTGCTAAATGGACAAATAATAGCATCTATCTCAAAGGATCATCTGCAGATTACTTCAAATAATGCAGAAAAAGCACTTGGCATGGTGTCTAGCTCACAGTAAGAACCAAAAATAATATAAGTCAAATCTTATTTCTTCAGGTACATTGAGGGCTGACTTTACATAGGTTACAGTGTCATTACCTGTTTAGATAATGCATGTAATTCTGACTTTGAAAGCTTACAAACAGAAATACTCTTTGCCTGAAAAGAACTACAAGGTTCTCAAGAGTTTTGACCCACAGGCAATAGACATAGTTCTTTTGTCACTACCTCCAACCTCTAATGGCCCTCCTAGAGGCTGCAAGCAGAGAATTGATATGGCAGCTAGGCTCCAGGTGAGGTGGGTGCAATCTTGGTCATATCAAAGGGTGGACTTAGAAACATTGGGTTGGGTGCCAAGCTTGTGTAATCTTAGTAACTTCACCTGCCTCTCTGGGCCTCAGTTCCCTCATCTGCAAAGTGGGGGCAATCACACCCACTCTTCCCAAGGGCAGCTGTGGGGGAATCAAACAAGATAGCCAGGGTGAAAGCGGCCCTTTGTGAACTTCCCTTCATTGCACAAACAAAGGTGCTATTACCAGGAGCTACCTTTGCCCTTGGCTGTGAACAACCAGAGGGGAGGGAAAAATCAAGATGCACCTGGGTACTCCTGGGTGCTCCAGCCATGCAAACAAACAGTAAGATAGGACACTAGACATCATGACCAAGACAGGACCTATGAGGTTTAGTTATGCCAATTTCTTGCTGTTTACAAGGCTGGACATCATTTAGAAGTTTACCAGCCAATCACAGGCAAGATCTTTTGCCAAAGTTCCTTCTGCTTAAAACTCAGCCTCATTCTAGGCAACTGGCTCCAGTTTTGCCTGCATGGCATAGACCAGGAAGCAGCCTCTTGCCAGCTCCCCTACTGGAATTTGCCCAGAGATGGAATCTCCAAAATCCGCACCAAGACAATGTCCCCTCTCTAGTAAAGGTTCTCTGGGCTCTAGGGAAAACCCAAACTGCCCACTGCCCATTTGAAGTTTTGATTTCATACCTCTATAGGCATTTTCATCCTTTTATTTACCCTAGATGCAGCTCCCCCAGCCACCCTACATATCCCAAACAGTCCCTTGCACAGGTCCTGATGGAGAGACAGTACCCAAGCACACTCCCCCAGACCCACACCCCCAATCCCCAACACACATTCCACCTCCACTCTGCCTCACAGATGGCAACATAAATAAAACCCAACAAGTAAATAAAAGGTGAAAGTCACAACCCAAAATAGACTCTCCACAGTAAAGTTCCTTCCTGCCCCCTTCCTCAACACAGAGATGCTGAACACAAAGCCCTTGCCCACAGCAAGTCCCCATCTCCTAAGGCACCCATCTGAAGGTCCTTCCTCTCTGTCTCTCTCTTTCCCCTTATCAGTCTTCCACTCTTTCAGCCCTGAGCCCCAGCCCCTGAGCTCCACTTCCTGAAGCAGAAGCCATCAGTGCATTCTGAGGACAGGGGATGGTAGGACAGGCAGCTTGATGGCAGATAATCACCAAAAACAATAGGCCACTGTCTCTTCTTTCCCAGCCTGGGTCACTCAGGCTGAGCCAAGAAGATCCTTTCAGAGCAGGCAAAGTCGAGGCCTGGCCTCATTTACTCATTGCTTCGAACAGGAGTGGGAGCCACTGGGAAGAGATAACAGGAGCTGGGGACAGGCGTAATTTAACAAATTCTTGGGCACAACCAGCCATTGTTGCAGGTAAACAGGAGCCAGTGACTGACCCAAGCAGGGAGGCCCAGGGCTGGGGGAGAATCGGGGAGTGTGGAGAGAGGAGATCACACTGTCCCAAGCCCTGGCAGACAGACACCCCCATCACCAAGTGAGCCCTCCTCTGATTTTCTCCTTTTCCTTCTCCCCTTGAGCTGGCCTCCACCAGCGCCCCCTGCAGGGTCCAAGACACTGGGGAACAGTGGGACAGAAGCAAAATGTTCCAGGAGTTTGAATGCCAACAAGCAGCTTCTCCTAAGATCTAGTCTTCTGAAGAGCTTTCTTTTTTCTTCCTCTTTCCCCAAGCAAGCTAGCTAGCTCATAAATCCCCTGTAAGGGCAAAGAAGGTCCGTGTCTCCTACACAAAGCAAAGAGCTCATTGACCAAAGTCATGGGGGGGGGGGGAGGGGGG